AATGACACGGAATTGTGAACGGGGCAGACGATTCCAAAATCCTAAAATGAGGCAAAACTCACAAATGAGCTGATCAATGCAGAACGCCATAAAACTGGCCTTTTCGAAAGAAGTCCATTTGGTTTAACATCGCTCTGCATTTTCCTGAGCCTGATGCTCCAAGAAATAATGGTCCATTTTAATAAAAACCGCTCAGGATGAGTTTTGATTTCACAATCTCGCATTTTACACGCTTCTTTCTGTGTGCCTTCTTGCAATATTAATCGATCCCTCACTGTGTTCTTTTAAATCACGCTAAGAGGGGAAAAAAAATGGAACAGCAGTGATTGCAAAGGTTACTGTGATCATAATGCAAAATCCAACAACTATACGATTGCAACGCCATACAACAGACTACACGAAAAGCAGAAAACAAGTTGCGCTAGAGAGCTCCAGACACGCAATAGGCATACTTACTAAAGAGTGGACTGTTATTAGGGAAGTCAGAATGGGGAGAATCTTTGCAATTCGTGGCTCCAGAGGTTATGAATGTCTGTATTGAGTCTGTAAAAGACTGACATTGATAGATTGCTGCAGATTAAAATCATCAAGAGCTCAGGGGATAGTGCAGAAACATGATGTCGAAGCAAAAGGTCATTCATGATCTCAGTGAACGGTGAGGCGGGCTTAATGTTTGCAACTTGTGTCCGTGTGGAATGAAAGTACATTGACACGTTTCTTCCGAATTGAAGTGTTCGCAGGAAGCAGGAAGCTGAGGGAGACACAGAGCAAAGCGATGCAGATGGGACTGCTGGAGCTGCAAAGACCCTTCCTGCAGCACGAATGAAATTGCACAGCACAGGGGAGAGAATTGATGCATTGAATTTGGGTTGAGCGGCCCAGCATCCTTTCACAAGTCAGGGTTGACTGGGATATAAGGTATTAGAACAAACATGGATAGCATTTACTTGGATATAAAAACATTATAAAAGACAAGGACTGGGTTTACTGGGATATGAAGACGTGAGGAAGGACACAGGTAGGACTTACTGGCTTTCAGGCACACGATAAACTGTCTCACCTGTTTCCTGCTATCTGTGTTTGAATCAATCTCTCAAACTGATTTTATTGCCACACGGGCCAAGGTTGTAAATGCTGAAACTATGCACTGGTAAAGATTGTCCGCTCTCACACATTCCACTTCTCCACAGGAGCTGTCGAGATGAATTGCCTTGCCCCGTTCTCTGTCGCTCTGAGATTATTTGAATAATAAAATCGATTCTGTGAGCTGGGGAAAATGTGCTGAAATTTACACACATCAGGTGCAGTGTGTCTGAGAGACAGGACTCCCTTCAGTAGCACCCCATGCTGAATCAGACAGCTGCGCCCTTCCTGTGACATTGAGAACGACACAGACACAGATCCCAATGATTGGGAGAGATTCTATCTTTCCCAACAACTCTGAATTTTTCGCGCTGTGTCAGATGTGGTAATTTGGACAAGGTTCCCAACAGAATGTTAGTTTCTCTGCATGCTCAATCTCCCTTTTGCACAGCCTTCCACACTTACCATACCTCCCACTCCCACCACACCCCTCCCCTGTCCTGCAAGTCCATGTTTGGCAGGGAGCTGAAGAGCGCATTCGTGTTGTTCTCCTCCAGCACGGCCTGCCAGTGAAAGATTGTTTACTCCAGCCGTCAATGGAGACAGCGTAGCCCCGGGGGAATAGTGCCAACTGAGCCTCCTTGGAGCGGGGGTTCAGAATGGGAATAAGCTGTTGTTAAAACTCAGTGCTGCTTCAGTGTTAACGGGTCTGAGCTGTTGCTGGTTCATTGGTCTCGGGATATAATTCTGTTCCATGTGGATGGAGTAAATAGGAACAGCTCTCGCGTTCGAATTCCAGGCGATCCCTGGAGTTCTGTATCTTGCTCCATTCTTCACTGAGGTAGTCTGATTTTGTTGAGATCGAGTTTAGCCTGAGATCCCTCAGGATCTATGTGGCGAGTATTATTTTTAAAATTTCGTTCATTGGATATTCATTCACGGGATGACGGCGTCATTGGCTAGGCCAACATTTATTGCCCACCCCCAATTACTCAGACACATGGTCAACCATATTGCCTATGGGTCTGGAGTCACAAGTAGGCCAGACCAGGAAAAGATGGCAGTTTCCTTTCCTAAAGGGCATTAGTGAACCAGATGTGGTTTCTCCAACAATCGATTCACAGTCATTATTAGATTCTTAATTCTAGATATTTATTCTATTCGAATTCCACCATCTGCCGTGGTTTTGAACCCGAGTCCCCAGAACGTTATCCGGATCTCTGGATTCACACGCCAACGAAACTATCACTATTCCATCATGTACCCTTTCTCGCCCCCATGCGTGTGGCTCGTTGGTCTGCGGGTATGATTTTCGCGTAGGGTACTATATAATGATGACATGCGAAAGGTCCCGCGGTCAAGTACCAGACGAGCCCCACTGCTTTATATCTCTTTTGCCACAATGCCCAAAGAGCTTTCCGAAAAAACCAGCTTCGTGAAATGAGGTCGGGTTGCCTGAAGTGGGGATGAGACAGAAGTACCATTGCAGTGAACACGGCCAAAGAGAATGCTTGTTCAAATTAAAAACAAGTGTTTCAAGTTGTTTGCCCACGCATTCTGACTCTGAGTGAAAATTCCAGCCGCATTATTGCTCAGTTCAGGACGTGTAACTTGCGGAAGCGGGAATGCGAAGTGATTGGAGACAGCGTTGAACAGATTCACGTGAATGGTACTGTGTATGAGGAATGTCCGTAATGAAGTTAGATGGGAAAGTTGGGAAAGCTCTCTTTGGGGAACAGAAAGCTGAAATTTTGAACAGAGGGTGGCAGGGTCACTAAAACGCTGTCTAACAGAACTAAAGACGCAGATTCAATCAACACAAAAGGAAATTTGATGGTTATGTCACAAATAACAATGGGCAGAGTTACACAGAGAAGGCAAGAGAATTCCATGAAATGACACTCATTTGCTCATTGTGGAGAGCGGCACAGATAAGGTGGGCTGCATGGCCTCCATCTGTGTTGTGACAAATTTTGTGATTCTGAGTGAAATCTGAATGTGGGAGTAACAGAATGTGGGGCATTAGACAAAGGTTATGTTTACACAGGCGAGACACATCTGCGCAACAGGGTATTACACAACAACAATGATTTTTTAAAAATTCATTCTTGAAGGTACATGCCCCACGCCAAATGAAAAGCCTGAAAAGCACACTACGCTACCAAGCAGAGTGGCGCAGCGGGAGCATGATGGGCTCGTAACCCAGAGGTTCATGGATCGAAGCCATCATCTACTACACCTCGCAAGTATGGTTTGCGGGAGGGGGAGGTGTCTGTGCTATGTCCTTCATATTGGTACACAGGTGAGGTGACATACTTGGCAAGATCTCAGCAGTTTTCTCCTGTTCACCGTTGGTTTTCTCTCAGTTGGGACGAAACTGGGGTCGTTGGAACTTATTACTTCCAGTTTTTTTTTACCAAGACCTGCAGTAACTGCACACACTGTTTCAGACATGAATATCAAGACGATAATCATGTTGGAGACAGCATCACGGCACAGACACATTTGACCATTATTAGAATAGATATCACCAATTGTGAATAACCTCAGAGAGATGCAAGCGACAGAAAGTCGCCGTGGATTCAATGGGCTGAACGGCTTCTTTCTGCACGGGAATGACGCCATGGGTTAATGACGTCACTCTCCCTGTCTCTGTGGCTGAAGCACAATTTGCAACTTCTTTAAAAATCCAAGCTCATCTTTCTCACTGTTCTGATGCCCTGTTTGAATCTGATCTGCAGGAATTGTTTCACTGCCTCACATCAGTAAATGTTACTGAGAACATTGGAGTCAGTGTCCCAGCGTCATCAGAGGAGTGGAAGCTGAAGTAGTCCCATACACTGCCATTTGGTACCTTTTAACTTCCCAAACCACTCAACCACTGCAGCTCCTTGGAATGGAAAGGAAACAGAATTTTTAAAAAAAATCCACTCGTCTCAACTTTGTGAATCTCTAGAACTGGGAATCAGAGGCACATGAAGGGTGAACTGTCCGACTGAGTAGAGACAGTTAAACTACCTTCCCTTCTTTAAGGGGCCAGGACATTCATTGATCCGAGACATTAAAAGGATTCCCTCCAGGCACTGCTCGGCCTTTGCTGCTGTTATTGTGAGGACAGTAAATCCTCACTCCCTGACCAGGGCTCGAGTCCAGGCAACAGTGGTGAAACTACTGTACCCTTACCACTAGACCACCTGGGAACAAGTAGACTTGCATCATTTCTTAATAACACAGCTTCCGGCTTTTATTTCATTGGTAATCAGTTGCTCCTGCAAAATGATCGCATCATTGAGTTTTTACAGTATGGAAAGAGGCCGATCATCCCAGTTTCCATCACTTGGCCTTTTAGCCTTGTGTGCTGTCATGTTTCAAGTGTTCATTTCAATGTCATTTTCCCTGTAACATTTTAATCTCACGCATCACTACCAATGAGACTGAAGTTTAAGATGGGAAAACTGTGTTCATGCCCCGTCGGGAAAGTGAACCTCATTTTCACACACAGAAGGAAACAAACAAGGACACCTTCCACCGAGAGTTCCAGAGGCTTTAGGAGAGAGCAACCCCCAGAAAGCAGAATTTCACTCACTTGGCTCTATTGTCCCATTTCAGACTTCAAAACTAGAATCTGTTTACAGCAACCAAAGGAAGAACTCGGCGGCTGCCGTGGGTTTGTGTTCCTCCCCCGCTGTTCACCTGTCACTCTGCAGTTTTCCTGCTTGACCTCGCTCTTCTGGTCAAACGTCGCTCATGCCAGCTGCTTCTTGCTATTCCGAACCCACTTTCCTCAAGTATGTGGTCGGACAAACAGGAAAGTGGAATTTCAAACACATTTCTCGCCTGTGGAGGAAATGGTGTTGCCATAATTTCAGATAAGATTGGACGGGTTCTTGTTGATTTGGAAGGAGCGAGTATACAACAGGCCCCAGTGAGACTCGAACTCACGACCTGGTATTTACAAGACCAGTGCTCTAACCACTGAGCCACGGAGCCAGGCAGACAAATTTGGAAAGAGGATCTCATGTATTAGAAACGACAAAGTAATAGATAATTGGAGACCTTGTGTTTTATGAACCAAGACGGAACAAAACCGAAACAGAGCAGAGGGGCATCACGTGCAGAAGGACGGGAGAATGCAAGGCCGAATCAGAGTGTCCTGAGTGACATAAACAGATCTTTCCTGGTAGTCCAGTGATTATGATCCAGTGCTTTCACTGCCATAGCCTGTTAATGGTTAACATTTACAGGAATAAATACGAAATATTGACTGATCTTTAGAAGCAGAATTATGTCATTGACCAGTCAAAATCGATTCACTCCATGTTACAGTTCCACATCTGCAATGCCAGCAGCAACTGCCTGACGTGTAATCAGTTTAAAACAAGAATAGAGGGGAGGTCAGGAAAAGTGAAGTGCAATGGTAGTTTGTGAGAGTTGACTGTGGGCCGAGTGGAGCCAGGCTAAATGTGAGTGCTGAAGACCAGTCTTCACTGTTAACCCTGGTATACAGATCACATTGGATCAATCACACAAGGACTCTCCTTTGTGTGTTGTCCTTTGCACATCACAACTCGGTTCAGTGCCTCGAGGGGTTCAGAAACTTTTAATTTGGCAACTAACTCAGCTCAGTGGTCCACAAACTAAGCTGTGTCGGGACAATGTTTAAACGGGCCACCACTCATTGCCACGACCCAGAACTATACAGAAAGAGGAAGAACACCAATACAAAATCTTTGCTTTGAACGGATATCCCTGCAATTTCATCCGCAGGTGCCTACTAAATAGCAACACGCAGAGGACACATTATGCCCTAACACACTGGCTACACTGCCATACATCAAGAACGTATCAGAACTGACCACTAGGAATTACTGTAGCACACAAGCCCAACGCATGCTACGACAAACACTCACAAGGATTAAAGACCCCATTCCCACGACATGCAGAACCGACATAGTTTACAAAATACCGTGCAACGATTGCCACAAACATTATACCAGAGAGACAGGAAGGAAACGAGCCATCGGAATACATGAACTTCAGCTAGCAGCAAAATGACACGACGAACTTTCCCTAATATCAGTACACTCGGATAATGAAGGCCATCAGTTTAACTGGGACAACATAACCGTAGTAGCCCAAACCAAATATAGACACAAATGGGAATTCCTAAAGGCATGGTTCTCAATCCATAATGCAATCAGCAAACATATAGAATTGGACCCAATATACACAACCCATACAGAACAGAACGGGAAATGACAGAACTCACCGCAACAGACCGGACAGTATAAATTCCAAGTGGAGTAGAACATCGCTTCATCGGAAGTCTCACTCATGATGTTACCTAGCATGGTGACGAAACGTCTGAACGGAAACAAGCCAGCTGGGCGAGCAAGTTAACAACATCAACTATACCGTTTAATGTGTGACTCAGTGTCAGTCTTTGTGATTTTCACACATTGTTCGACCCGCTTCTCCCGCCGTACACAAGGTTCCCCGACAAAAGGCAGCTTTATGTGGAACACAAGCAGTTTCTCCTGACAATGGGTACCGTTGCCATGAGCTGGGATATGAAGTAGACAGTGAGTTGAAGTAGCCCCACACTCATGTTACTCATTTACCTTTCAATTTCAATTTTCAATTTCCAAAACCCAGCGATCCAATCACTTCAGCTGCTGAGAATCTGACAAAAACAGCGCTGGGCGCACATTCCTCTTCGGAAGCATCTGTCAATTTGCAATGGTCGAAAAACTGTCAACTTCACTCGAGCGAGGGAGGATACAACATTTCAATCTTCCAAACCAAAGTCAGACGCCGTATCAATTACACCACTGGCTCCACACGTCTTGCTGCAGCTTTCATCCTGTCGACTTGTGATGTATTCAGGGATACTGGCTGAAAAAGCATTCGCAAGGTGAATATCCAGCAAAATAATCGCCGTCACTGCTGCACTTCAATGTTCTCCACTTTGTGAAGCGGTGAATTTCCCTGGCAAACGAAACACGTTCGTGCCTGCTTTGCTGTCACCCGTTTCTCTGCCACCCGTTTCTCTGCTGGAACTTGCCATCGTTTTATTCACAGTCATTCCAAAGTTTGCCTCTCGTATCTTTTTTTTCTTAAGTTTATCTCCTCTCAACTTAAAACTGTCCCCGAGTCTTGAAGTCTCCCATCCTCGGGAAAAGACAACTACCATTAGTACTATCTCCACGTCTCACTGTTTTATAAACTTCTATCAAGTCGCCTCTCAAGCTCTGAAGCACCAGCGAAAATAGTCCAAGTCTATCCAACCTTGCTTTATAAATCAAACCTTCCGTAGCAGGCAACATCCTGGTAAACCTCTTCTTAACACTTGCCAGCTTAATAATATGCCTCCTGCAACTGTGCGACCGAAACTGCACACAGTATTCCAGAAGAGGACTCACCAACATCCTGTACAACCTCAATATGACTTTCCCAACTACTAAATTGAAACGATTGAGCAATGAAGGCAGGCGTGCTAAAAGCCTGTTTAACCCCTCTGTCCATATGTGGTGTAAACTTCAAAGAATTATGTACCTGCACCCCAAGGTCCCTAAGGAGGCACCTTAACAGTGAGACATAGTCTGTGGGCGGTTGGGGAATAGTTTCGAATTTCTTTGACTTCACGTCTAAAGAAATTTATTGTACACGTGCAGCTGAATAAGATCGGCAATTCATTCTCCGTGAAGAACTATAAATGAAACTGAACATTTTTTCAATTAAAAAGTAAAATTAGACCCTCTCGAGTCGGAAGGAAACCGTCGCTCAGAGGCACAATTCCCGCTTTAAAATGGTGCCTTAATGATTCGACCACATTCCGATGATGTTCGGAACATTTCATACTTTCCGAACTCCACCCAAGAAATCCACAAACAAGGCTCTGTCTCTTTGCATTTTGAACCCTCCCTTCCTCTCAGCAGTTCTTTATTTTAAGCTGATAAAAATTCTGAACAAAGTTGAATGTAACATTCGCACGTTTCAATGAGATAAATCAAATTCCTTTTTTGAATGTTTCAATGACCTGTGGAGTTTGCATCAAATTGAATTGAAGCGAGTTAAACAGCTTTTTCCCGCAACTTAATTCAATTTTGAATAGCCATATGAGAAGTGTTTGCGATCTGAAAAATAATCATCTTTTATTCTCTCTCCGCAAATATTTTTTGACATTTCGAACATTTCCAAGACGTTTGTCGATCGTTGAGTCATTTCCAAACCCTCAGAACCTGGCAATTTCCCATAAACTTTGTTCAAAATTGACTATGCTCCTTAGCGTCTTATCCCACGACAAATTAAAACTGCGCCAGCAGAGACTTGGACTCACAACCTCGGCATTACACACGCCTCGACACAGTCATATAAATACTGCGGGCTAACCAACTACGCCACTGGAGCGACACACACTGAATATTTCCAATTATACCTTATCGGTTGGCAAATCGGCTGTGAACTGGGATTATATGATTCTTTTCCCAAGTGGTTCCTGACTTTTTTGAGGAAATTACTGAAGTACGGAGTGCTAAACTGGATTAATTACTGCTGTGCACATTTTCAGCATTTTCCTACAGTGTTCCCTGAGCCTTTGATGTTTCCAGCCTGTAGAAATCTGTCAATCAGGCTCTTGCCAGGGTTGCGCGGTTTTGACTGTAGGGTGAAGCTGAATGGGCCTGGCAAAATTTCCCTGCAATGTCGTGAAGTTAGAGAAGTTTATAAAGTCATGAGGGCTATGAACAGGGTGAATGGTCGAGGTCTTTTTTCACCGGCTGGGCCAGTCCAAAACTACAGGGAATATATTTAAGGTGAGAGGGGAAAAATAAAATGGGAGCTGAGGGGCATTTTTCACGCAGAAGGTGGTGCGTGTATGGAATGAACTGACGGAGGAAGTTGTGGAGGCTGGTGAAATGACAACATTTCAAAGGCATCTGGATGATTGCATGAATCGGAAGGGTTTAGAGGGATAAGGGCCAAATGCTGGCAAATGGGGCTAAATTAATTTCGGATATCTGGTCGGCATGGACAAGGTGCACCGAAGTATCTGTTTACGTGCTGTCCATCCTGACGATGCTACAGTTGCTAACCCCCAGTTTAATCATTTGTTTGCGTAGGCTGCGGGAGCCTGTCTCTGTGGCGCAATCGGTTAGCGCATTCGGCTATTAACTGAAAAGTTGGTGGGTTAAGACCACCCTGAGACGAAAGGGCTACTTTGCTTTTAACCCCGATGACCATTCTCCGTGACAAGTTCTCAGTGAGAATTTTGGCTGCAAGAAGGTAACCATGTTAGCTCCTCAGGTATCGAGCGAATCCCCAAACAGACAGCTCTTAACGCGCAACCAAAGCAAAAATGACAAGGCGAATGCAGTTGCAGACACAGCAAAGCATGAATGCTGTCTGTGGGACACCTCGACTTGTCTGTGTCACGAACTGCTCACACAAGTGGCAGCGGGGCAATTCCAAACTGCGCTTTCAATTATACTGGGAGTTTAGTCCAACGCCACTTTCCGAAAAGTGCTCAAATAAGGGAAAAAACAGAACAGAATTAGAATGACCCATGAAAAGTGACAATTAGCAATCACAGTCTCGAAGGGCTGGGTTTCCCTTCTGATCAACAATGCGGGTGTGCCTGCACGGCAATGATTGCAGCGGATCGAGAAGGCAGCTCATCAGTTCCCTTCTCCAGGGCAGAAATGAAGGAAATGAGAGAAAATTAACAAAACTTTCCATCGAAATTACTCTCCTTTTCGCCACAACAGCAAATAACTGCGATTAGAATTCATGCAGGATTTGATTTCACAGCAGCAGTGGTACAACAATCTCTATTCGCTCTCAGTGAAAAGGATGAACAACGTAACTTGCCTGGAACATGAAGCAGCAGCGCAGCCTGCTTTTCCCGATATCATGCTGGGGGCAATCCATGCCACTGTACCATGGAAACATGGCCTGGACGCTGGCCCGATGGAGAATCTGTGCTGTCCCAC